ATCGCTCTTTCCTAGTCTGTTTAATTTTCTTCCCTTCCCTAGTGGTGCAGGTGCTAGATGTACCTAAAGGCAAGGATTGGTGGAAAACCCAGAGTTGGATGGTGGGGACCACAGCGATAACCAGATGCTTTGTGTATGTGTGTGTGTGTGTGTGTGTGTGTGTGTGTGTGTGTGTGTGTGTGTGTCTATGCAGCAGAGCTGTGTCTGAGCCTCCAGCACCCCTCACACTGAAACGTGGAGACCCGTAGTTCAGGAGGTTGACCGTTAGGGCCAGTCATGTTTGATAGAGAAACGCCCCAGCCAGCTCTGTCACAAAAGATTCAGCTGCAGCTCTAAGTCTCCTCTCTTTCCTGGAGTCATGGCAGACTTTGGCAAGAATTTTCTTGAGCCAGGATGGAGAAGCAAGATAATTTGACCTAAATATTAGATTGAAGAGCTTCATTTAACTCCTGCTCAGGCTCCGGTGTGTGGGTAAAGCTGAGATAATGACCATTGATTCCCCCTCTCCAGAAAAAAAAAATGAATCTTCTGCTAACTGCACAGTAGGAGAGTTTGCCTAGACTTTTATTTAGGCGGTAGGTGCTACGGCAGGCTCTCACGGCAACTCAGGCTGCACTGAGTCACACCGTGTAGCCCACGCTGCTCACAAACTCCTGACAATCCTCCTGCCTCACACCATGTAGCCCACACTACAATCAAACTCCTGACAATCCTCCTGCCTCATTCTTTGAAGCTTTGGGGTTATAGGCATGCGCTATCACAGCTGGCTCCCATTTTACTTCTTGAGAAGTTACTGAAACACTTGCTGTCTTAATGCGTTATACCCTATCCTATAGACATTCTTTTGCTGTGCGCTGCTGTGCAGGTTGGGGGAGGCCACAGCCTAGCAGGAAAATGCAGCAGGATAGAGACATTTGAGGGGGAATGTTGCTGTACTAGAGGTGTTTTTATAACAATGCAGGGAATGGAGGCCAGGAGCCCTGGAGTCCACCCAGAGGGGTGAAAGGTCTTCACAGAGAGGCAGCATCTACAGTGATTCATAGAAGAGTGGCTTTAGCCGCAGAGGGAAGGACACTGAGAACATGCAGTGAGAGCCTTGCACCCACACCTGGCCCCAGGTGTAGACTGTCCATCCCTCTATATCTGTGGCCTCCCAACTCTGATGCTACTCAGCCTTGGCTCTGCCCCAGAACCGTCCATAGTGCACGGCACCATCCCCATTCTCCGCTAAAGAAATCCATATCTTTGGAGGTCTCTTAGGGGGTAGAGAACACTTCCTTGTCCCTTTATTCCTTATCCCTATAAACCTCTGGCCTGTTCTCCCCCCCATTCTTCACCCCTCCTCACATTGGACCCTTTCTTGGACCCCAGAGGCCACTCCCCTCTGTGTTTATTTCCCTCTGTCTCCCCTCCTCATGTGTGTACACCTTGTCAAGGGAGAGCCCACTGTGCCCGGCTGCTGGGGCCCCTTTTCCTCCTCTCTGCACCTGGACTGATCTTAGCCTACGGTTCTGTATTGTCACCTTTCCCATCTCCACTGACTTCTGCTCTTACAGCCTCTAACACAAGAACACGTGACTGAGAGCCCTGTGACTTCCTAGACCTCACCTTTCTCTTCACCCAGTGTCCATTCCCACTTTGTTCTTCCTGACCCTCCTTCCTGGTCACTTTCTACCCACCTGTATCCATTGCTTTGGAGCTGAGAGGGTGGAAGTCAGTGTCCTGTTAGGTCACCGGCTTCACATCCCTAAATCTGGGCAACTGATGAGCGACTGGTTATCAGTATGGCCTGCTGTGTGTGTGTGTGTGTGTGGGGGGGGTGATGACAACTGGAGCTCCCTGGAAAACAGCCAGACTTTAAGAAAACTTTCTCAACCCTCTTGCCCTCTCTGCTCTCTTCACTGTCTCGGTGTAGCGACCTTTGGGATTTTCTGAATACCTACCTATAATGACACAGCATCTTTGTTCCTATGTTGCCTGCACATTCTCCATGTGTCTACAATAAGGGTTATTTCTGTACCTTGGAACTTGGAGACAGAGGAGTGAGGGGAGTGCAGGGGTATTATTATGCATGATGCTAAACTCTGAGCGGGCTCCCATCAGAATTCTCTCAGTCGACCAGGCAATGCTATTGAACCCATTTTCCATGGAAGTAACCTGGAGTAGTTAGTCCTAGACTCAGCTAGTAAGAGGCCTGGGTAGATGGTTAGCATTTGCATCACTAACTTGGGATCTGTGTCCTTGGTCTCACAGCTAGCCTCTCACTTCAGGGACCTCCTTTCTGTAATCTTGTGCTTTCCAGGACACCACTGACCTTAAGCTATTTCATGAAAAGTTCTGGCTGATGTGCTGACTCCTGGAAGGAATCCTCTCCCTCCAGGGATTAGCATGAGCGCTTCTATCTAAGGCCAGCCCTTCTCTTTTGCCTGTGGGTGAGTTGGGGTCAGCAAGCATTTGAAAAACTGGGAGAGGAAGCATGTTCTCAGACACCTTCTGAATTCTGGGTACTGAGGTTTCAGCGAGGAATTCTAGTGAAGATCTAGTCAGACGAGCAGCTGAGGGCTTCAGGTAGCCACAAAGCTAAAGTGTATTGTATTTGCCGATGACGGTAAATACTGTTAGCTGTTTCTTCCTGACTGAAGGTCAGTTTGCTGTCTTCTGTCTCAGACATCCAGCCTGAGTTGGGGACCGCACACAGTACCTTTGTACTGACTGCGTAGTTAAACCAGCAATATTAAAATATGGCTAATTATTTCTTCCTGGTTGGCCAATAGACCCAGGACCCATGTCATCTCAATGAAAACCTCGTGTCCTGTTTTTCTCCCCCCATTTGCCCATTTTGCTGCAAGGCGTACTCTCCTTGAACCCTTTGAAAGTTCCTTTATTCTTTCTTCTTGTCATTGCTTGGCTTCTTGTCTGGGAAAGCATCCCTAACCTTAGCACCTCACCAAGGGTGAGGTCATTTCCTAGTTCTCCGGTAACAAATGATGCCATTCCTTAATATCTAAGAGATGCCCGGTTATATTCCCCCAGTGACGTATAAAAACACCACTATAAGGGAGATGTGTCTGACGTCGTTTGTACTAGACAGGCCTATTCTGAACCTTGCCGTGATACATAAGCACTCTGCCGCTGAGGACAGCCCCACCCAAGCTACCAAATATTAAAATCCCCGGCAATTATGATGGCATTCTTTCTACGAAACATGTATGGTTATAAGTGAAGCAGACAAGAACATCTCACTCGTAACATTGTCAGGGGACAACCCCTAGCATCATAAAATAGCCTCACAGAAACGTCTGCTATGCCTCTCGGGAAACTAGCTGGCGTCCACTTTCTCATGTTAGAAAAGTATCTTTCCATGTTGTTGTTATGTCTCGGGGAAAGCTCTACGTAGGTCCAGAGTGAGACCTGCTTGTCTCAAATGCTGCCATTTGAATGGGGCTCAGAAATGTATGTTTTCATAAAATTGTAGTAGTAGCCTGTCATTTAAAAAATGTAAATATTAATTGACAGAATATTGTTTAAAAGGAAGAAAGCACTTGAATTTTTAAAACTAGATACAGGGACTGAATATTGGAATGCTGGGCATTCAGTGATCTTCATAAATAGCTTTTAAGGAGAGGTCCCAATGTCTAACCACTGGCAACTGCAGCCCTTCACTGTCTCATGGGCCCCGTGGGCCTCTGTTACTAATAAGGATGCTGCCTGCAGTGAATGGGCACTTCCTGGAAGCCCGAACTTCTAGAAGCTCTGAGCAGTTCTTTCTGAAATGGGTAGCCCGGTGCATTTTGATGATACAGAGATGTCTCTGAGCTCCCCACCATGGGAAATTCTTGTCCCTTTCCTCTGTGGGGATCCTTGTTAGTCCAGGAGCAGGGGAGGGAGTGCCAGAATACAATTTCAAGAATGGAAGAAGCTGTGCTTGGTCCCTGTGCTGCTGCTGCGGAGACCACAGGGCTCTCTGGAGGGCCAAGAATCAGATAAGCAGGGAGCTGTTGCTCACAGGCAGAAGCCTGAACCTTAGGGATCCTTGTGGATTAATTCCATTCACTTCTAGATCCCAGAAGCCTTTCTTTATTTCTTCCTAGCAAGAAGCATAGAAATAAATCTCTGATGGTATAGAGTGTTTGAGATAAATTCGACTGTCAGGTCATCTGCTAGGTGTCTTTTACCAAGGGCTTGTGATGACTTCAAACAGCTGAGCCTGCCTGTTAATTCAGGGGAATACACTCAGACTCCTTGGGGGCTCCAGCACATTGTCTGTAGTCCAGGGCTGCATCTCTAGTTGGTGTGTGTGTGTGTGTGTGTGTGTGTGTGCGCGCGCGCACTTGTGTACCATTTTGTGTTCTTGAGAAATGAAGCTATTTATTTGAATTTTTTTCAAATATTGATAGTAAGCCCATATCAGAGATGTTTACAAAGACATTAGCAGATACTGATGGAGGTTTGGTTTTCTAGGCATTCAGAATATAATCTCAGAACGTGACTGAGGGGAAATTATCTTGAACACATGAGACATCGCTGAATAATGACCTTTTGGGCTAAGAATGCTACAGCTCAGAGGGACTGTCGTGCAGTTTTATTGTTAATGATGTTGGCAAAGGAACTACAGATTGAAAGCTAAAGACATGGTGTTGCTGTTTGGTAAGGGGCCCATTTTCAAAGCTCTGAAGATTAAAGACTGTTGGCCAGAAGAAAATACTCATGCCTGAATGTATAAAGACATTTTTTTTTTTTGCACTTTGTAAAATATAGACCCTATGACTTCTTAACATCTGTGTAAATTAGCTTTTGGGTTTCCACAATAAAACCTTTCTTGGCTCGTGTTTAACATATGAATAAATTATGACATGAAATGGGTCATTTCTATAAGAAGGTCTCATGTGAGAGAAGTGTTTGTTCTTACAATCCTGTTTAGAAGTGGCCACTCACACTGTGTACTCAGTTGTTTGGTCATGACCTGTGCCTTACAACCAATTTCCTTTTTGTTCCCACAGCTGACTCAGGTGTTGACACCTTAGCAGTGTTTATGGCCAGCAGTGGAACCACAGACGTTGCAAATCGGAACAGCCCAGCCACACCACCAAATACCCTTAATCTCCGGTCCTCCCACAATGAACTGTTAAATGCTGAAATCAAACACTCAGATGCCAAGAACAGCACACCCCCCAAGTGCAGGAAGAAATATGCACTGACTAACATCCAGGCGGCTATGGGTCTCTCCGATCCAGCCGTACAGCCTCTGCTGGGAAATGGCTCCACCAACATCAAGCTGGTGAAAAATGGGGAGAACCAACTCCGCAAGGCTGCAGAACAGGGGCAGCAGGACCCCAACAAAAACATTAGCCCCACAGCGGTCATCAACATAACTTCTGAGAAACTGGAGGTGAAAGATCTCCACCCTCCAGAGTCCTCAGGCTGTGAGATTTTGCCCTCCCAGCCCAGGAGAACTAAGAGCTTCCTCAATTACTATGCAGACCTAGAAACCTCTACCAGAGAGCTAGGGCAGAATCTGGATCCCTGCCAAGGGGTTGAGGAGGAGAAGGCCCAGCCAGGCCCAGGCCAGGCCCCTGTAGTCATTGGGAATGGTGACTTGCTGCTGCAGAAACCAAACAGACCCCAGTCCAGCCCAGAGGATGGCCAAGTAGCTACAGTGTCATCCAGCCCAGAGACCAAGAAGGACCACCCCAAAACAGGGGCCAAAACTGACTGTGCGCTCCACCGGATCCAGAACCTGGCGCCGAGTGACGAGGAATCCAGCTGGACAACCCTGTCCCAAGACAGTGCCTCCCCCAGCTCCCCAGATGACACAGGTACTCCGGGGACTAGGACCGCCCCACCTGGTACTTTTCCATTGGTGTTTTAACCAGTGATAGAGTACATCTCTCCTGGCTGAAAAGTGTCGGCTCCAGCTAGAGGGACACGTGGGTGAAGTCGGGCAGCGTGTGGAAACTATCACTAGACTTCTCAGGCACATTGTGGGTTCGTTTCATTTTGGGCCATCCGTAAGTTGTTCTGGTTCCCATTTCCATAAAAAAAGTAACCACTGGTTTAAATTATGGCAAACTGTCATCTCTGATGATTCAGCTGCTGGTGCTAGGTGAACTTTTTTGGGGTACTGTCTAGAAACATCAGGTTTTGTTAAAGAAAATATTAAAAGAAAAGTAGTTGCCAAGGGCAGGCTGCAGATTAATTAAAAGAACCCACTATTTCAAAATTCTCAGAACTTTCTTATACCCAGGCTTATAAAACCTTTAAAAAAAAAAGTCCAGAACATTTAAAAGTTAGATCTTGAAAGACATTTTGCCTGTTCAAGTAATATTTGGAAGTGAGAAAAAAATGACACTCTCAAATGTATTTAGACATTCAAGATTTTAAGCAGTGTTGGTGATTTTGGTCTGTCAGTACTTCTGTCCACGTCTGCAGCTTTTGTCAGGTGTGGCGTATCGTGACAGCAGTGAAAAGAGTCTTCCATTTCATGTTCTCAGAGTTCCCACTCGACCAATCAGAAAGCTGTAAGCTCCAGAGCACTTTGTGCTGAATGAATTCAGTGTAAATAACATCCACACATGTGGCCCAGCATCTGCAGTAGCAGCTCTCAGAGTCAGGTAGACCAGATGGCACACCAGGGAGCCAGATGACATTTTCCCAGAGGTAAGGCAAAGAAAGCACAAGGAGTGAAGATTTAAAAAAGAAGAAAGAAAAAAAAAAAGAGGAGAAAGTTAATTGAGTTCTTTAAATAGGAAGGAAAAAGGAGCAAAGTGCCCCGCAAACCCTGGTTCTTTCTGTGTTAGGTTTCAGCAGCCTTCCGGGACTGGCTGTGGCAGTAGGAAGCCTGAGTGAGACTCTTCAGTGTCTTCAGTTGAAGTCATAATTATGTTTAGTAATGTCGTCATGCCCATAGCCCTCTGTGACTTGGGAGAATTCCTGTCCTGTACCTGATAGACAGTTTCACCTGCTAGTGGTTGAATCTATTCCAGCTGCCCCTTCGGCGTCTGGCCAGACTTAAGGTCTTGTGTCTTTCTGTGGCTGACACAGCCTTCCTGCTGCTCTTGCAGGCATGGTGTGTTCTGGGGCAGTGAGATTTAAGTGATCTAGAGGATACTGAGCGAAGACTGAAGCCTCTGCCCCCACTCTAGCCCCTCTTCCTAGTGATGGCCACCATTTAAGGAGGGTATTTCTTCTAGAAAACATTTTAGGCGTGTGATGTATTTATAATAATTTTTTTAAATGTATAAAAATTTTGGGACATTATTTTTAGAGATCTTGCCTCTTAGGAGTATAAACTACTATATGTAATCACATAATGTACATGATACAATGACCCTCCATAGCCGTTTTTCTCCAGCTGTGGACTGAAAATGTTTGTGGTAAAATTACAGCTGTATCGCACATGTTTGGACTTTTTTTAGTCATTGTTTCCTAGCATAGTATAGTAGCTGTTTGCGTAGCATACACATTGCATTGTTACATGAAACCTTTACTTTTTGTGTTCCTGGGATCCTGGAACCAATTTCCCTGAAGACACCAAGAGATAACTGCATTTAAGAGATACATGAGGCAGGGGTGTGGGGGGGTACCATGATGAGGATTTAAAAATCCCCAACAGCAGTACCAACTAACTGCTAGCTATTAAAACTGGGTTATTGTTACAAGGGTTCATCATTCTGGTCTTAAATTTTGGTTTTAAAAATTCCATGTAATATGTTAAAAAAAAAAAAAAAGAATTCAACAGGGGCTGGAGAGAGGGCTCAGTGGTTAAGAGAACTGACTGCTCTTCCAGAGGTCCTGAGTTCAATTCCCAGCAACCACTTGGTGGCTCCTGTAATGAGATCTGGTGCCCTCTTCTGGCCAGCAAGCATACATATAGATAGAACACTGACTATATAATAAATAAATAAATAACTGTAGTTTTAAAAAAAAAATTCAGTTTAGACTGTTGATGCTTCACTTTTTAAAGACTGTATTTTATCTGTGCATTGGAACAGTTGTTTAGTGGTAGGTCACTTGCTTATCATATACAAGGCTCTGGGTTGAAGATCCAGCCTGGTTTTCTAGTTTAGTCACATTTTTTAAATTTTGTACATGAGTATCTATTGTAATAGTCTTATTCCCAACAGCTACGTTGAAGAGCGTTAATTTGTTATTATAGTTTTTGTGTGTGGATTTGTGTGGGTCCATACATCTGTGAGTTTGTATTTGAAAGCCAGAGGTCAGTGCCCGGGGTTGTCTTCTGCCATTCTCCACTGTTTAGGTTGTTATTGTTTGTGTGCGCACACGGTGTGTGTACCCATGTTGCATGCCGAGGAGCATGCCTGGGGATGAGAAGACAACTTGCAGGAGTCAGTTCTCTCCTGCATGCAGATCCTCAGGCCTGACAGCAAGCATCTTTGCTTGCCGAGTCATGTTTCTGGTCTTCCACCATATTTGCTTTGAATTTTTATTTGAAACAGGATCTCTTGCTGAACCTGGCCGGTCCCCACATTGGCTAGATTGGCTGTTCAGTGAGCTCCGGGAATCTGCCTGCTCCTCGCCCCAGTGAAGCCTCCATACCCAGCTTTGTACATGGATTATGGGGATCTGAACTTAGATCTTTGCACTTACACAACAAGCACTTTCCCCGCCCAGAGTCTCCCCAGGCCTCACTTCAGTCTCTTTTGTTTTATATGCTGTGCTATTACGGAGAAGCTCAGCAACGTATTTTAAAGGTCTCCTCATCTATGAATACTTAACATAATTCTGCCTCTTTGTATATTGACTGTGAGTGTCAGTAAAGTTGAGAAACAAAAAGAAATGAAGAAAGGACCCTAAGCCTGGGCTGGAGAGCTGGCTGAGCAGTTAAGAGCAATGATGGTTCCTCCGAGGACCCAGGTTCAGTCCCCAGCACCTATGTAGAAACTCACAACTGTCTGTAACACCAATTGACCCGATGCCCTTTTCTGGCTGGCCTCCATGGGCACTGCATACACGTGGGCACAGATATAGATGCAGGCAAAACACCTATTACATAAAAAATAAAGGTAATTAAGTATTTTTTTAAGAACTACAAGCCAAACTTGAGCTTTCCTTCAAAACAGGCATCTGGATGCTGCCACCCACTTTGCTTGGCAGGCTCCGGTGTCTCTTGTCTACCCTAATTTTCAGAACCCTCTTAAAACTGCCTCAGAGATAGTTTGTGGACTCTTCCTGAAATGGGCGCTCTCTCTTTTCCCTGAGAGCCTTCAGGAGTGAGCCTGATTTTGGGTGTCGGTGGCAGTGCAGCCGAGCAGCTTTGCTCGTGTTAAAGCTATCACAGCGCAGCTGAATGAAGACTCGGGTGTGTCTCTTGAAAAGGCAGAATTAGTATTTATGTTTTTTCCAGTCTGTTTACTGAAGATGATCGTGATCAGCGTGAATACTACCTGTTGAGAGAAAACAAAAAGTGATAGTGATTATTCCTAAGACACTGGCATGCAGCGCCCGGGTTCCATATAAAAAGTGTGCCTTGGCATGACAGTTTGCTTTGTATTAGGTAAGCAGGCACCACAGCGGGTGTGTTTTATGACCAAAACGTGAGATAATCATCATTGGATTTCAAGCTGTGCTTTGGTGAGTCCAGGAAAAATAGAGCAGACTCTCGTGTACCTTAGGGCATTTTTTTCTGAATTAGAATGTACCATTTATAAAATAAAATGCATTGCCCATTCCCAGGACTGACCACTCTGTATTTCCCTTTCTTTCTGAATCGTCCCCTCCAGCTTTGCAGTGACATTTTTGCCCGATCAGTCATGTGTGCAGTATGTTGCCGCCTTCTCCTGTGTCCTTGTCCTTTGAGAAAACAAGAGGCTGTTTGCAAAAAGAAAACCGATCTGTGACAGGGATTTCAAGGGGCTTTGGGAAAGTTACTGTGCCTTGACCTTGGTTCCGAAACAAAGAATTGCACTGTTTTCGCCTTTGAAGGTGAGGACCTTGGATCTAGTTAGAATTCTGTCATAGCTCTGGTTCCCTGGGTGGCCCCAGGTAGACAGGATGGCTCAGAGAAATCCATGCTGCTCAGACCCTGTACAGTCTCTCTGTAAACTACTTGGTGCCCTATGTTAGGTGCCTCATTTGGACTCTTCCAGGGCACGGACTTGTAACATAAGATTTATTTGAGCCTTGCAGAGTTGGGAGCTATAGACTATGGATGTCTGTTTCTGTCTCCCCTCCAGCCCCACTCCCCACCCCCTGGTCAAACTTTGCACGAGCCAAGCAGCTGTCTCTACTGCTGAACTGTAACCACTGCCTGAGATGCAGCTTACACAACAGCTGGTTAATTTAAACTCACTGCTAAGGTGCTCAAAAGCAGGATCCCACACCGAGCTAGCGGAGCTCAGAGAGTGTGGCTGTGGTTGCAGTACCCCATTAGCTTGTAGAGAGCGTGGGCTCCAGAGTCGGCTGCAGAGCCTTGTCTAGGTGTGCCACGTACAAGGCTGATGTGTGGAGCGACCACAGCTTTCGCATAGACTTTCTGTTAAAACTGAAAACGGGGCATCCAGAAAGAGGTCTTGGCCCAGTGTGCAGCACAGACGGGGCTTACTAAGTAAAAAGGCTATTATTGGTAATCCTTATTGGTACAGTGGTGTGATATAAAAGTTAAATCTATTTTTAAAGTGTTTGTTGAATTTTCATTTGTGTGTATGTGTTTCTGTGGGGAGATATGTGCATGAGGGGGGGGCAGGGAGGATGCCCATGGAGGCCAGAGGAGGATATTGGATACCCTGGAGTTGTGAGCTGCCTGACGTGGGTGCTGGAAACTGAACTCTTTCTTGTCATTGGCAAGAGCAACAAACAC